CAACCAATTTATTGCCTTCCATGTTTCCTGCTGCAAGTACTCCTCCGCTTTCACCGCGTAGTACTTCTGGTTCTCCTCGTATTGTCAAACAGCGGTCTGGCCCTTCTTCTTTAGGTTCGCCCCTCAAAATAGTTAGCGAGCCAGTTCGTGAAGTCGTACCACCGGTATAAAGTGAACTTAGCCCATAAATTTTGCAAATGTTTTAGTGGAATATTACGCCTTCGGATAATAGAACTCAAAAAAAAATGTTTGTTGTTTTTGTAGTTTTATTTTGAAAATGGTCGTCCGCCTCCAAATGAATTGAAAGAGCAGTGTTTGTTTGTCATTGATCAGTACTTTTATGGTCGTTTGGGATTGCACATTCATGGTGAGAAAACACTTAAGCGGTTTTAGTCAGATTCTATTTTTATGTTTTCTTGGTTTTTGCTGTTGTTAAATGTACTGTTTCTTGCATGGCAGAGTTTAAGGCGTTAACAAAAGATATTTGCAAACTACCTTCATTCTTGTCCCCCACTCTGTTTAGAAATATTGATGTCAACAACAGTGGTATTGTGACAAGGTATGTATGAGTGCACCTTTGAATTTATAGTTTCATGATGTGTAGTGGTATTGGTTCTGAAGAAATCTATGTTGGACCAGAACTACTTATTCATGGTCATGGACAATAATAGATGAAGGACCTGCTATAAATAATGCTGTTAAAAACAAAGCATTGGTGGCAACACCGATTAAATCCAAAAGGTTTTTGTGGTGTTTCACTCCTTTGCAATCCCCATATTTTCTAGGGATTCCTTACTTTGGAATCAGGAATAGCATGAAGTAGTGCTTTATGACCCTTGAGGCCTTGACTATGTAGTGGTCTCTGTGGTCTATATCTCTTTTTGGGTTAGTCTTTTACTGCACTTTAAGAAAGGCTGTGATTGGCAGCATATACAAGGATTGGATGGAAGTACTGGTCTAATTACAGGAAATTCCCTCAATGGATTTGATCGACTTAGTGCAGAAGTTTTAATAATGCAATGGTTTGAGTAGAGGTGTAGAACTGCACTGTAGATTTTAATAGGACCAACCAGATTCATTGGACTCTTGGTTAGGGTTTAGGAGGGTTTATTGCTGGTTCTTGCATGCCCTTTATGGAAAGCTTGAATAGTTTTTGGTGTCAATGAACAGTCTGATCCTCTTGCAAACTTGCAACTAATTTATTATGTATGTTTTAGGCCCTTGTTTTGCTATCTGAGACTTGATTTGTCTATGAAACATAATCAGTTATAATTGAAGTATGAAATTGTAAGGTTCTAGATGGTTTAACATCAGTTTTTAAATCACACAAGTTATCATAGATGTGTGCTTATGTATGCTGTAATGAATTTTAGGGATCAATTTGTCAATTATTGGATTGGAGGCAACATGTTAACAATGGATTTAGCAACCCGAATGTATACAATTCTTAAGCAACCTGATCGCAGATACCTTACTCAGGTAATATTCTGCTTCTTCAATGAATATTACTTGAATATGATTGTACATCTCTATGAAACGAGAAGGAAAGAAAGAAATATGATTATATAAATGTGCATTGACATGCCTCACTAAACTAACTATTGAAGGGGGAAAATTGTGGTTGCAGAAGTAATAAGGTTTTGTGCCTTCTTTAATTAATTGGTATTGAATGCAGGATGATTTCAAACCTGTTTTACACGAACTTTTGGCATCTCATCCAGGGCTGGAGTTTTTACAAAGCACCCCAGAATTTCAGGAAAGATATGGTATGATTACTATCATTTGAACAAATATCTTTTTCAATTCGTTTCAAATTAGATCATTTATTCCTGTCTAGAATCCATGCTTCACACATGCCAAACAGGCCCCAAATTCATCTGATAATTGGCTTACTGCATTTCTGGTTTTGTATGTTCAATATATCGTAGTGACTAAATGTAACTTAGTCCCAGCATTTGGTGCTAGGTGTACCTTAACAATGGCATTACTACAATATTACTTAGTGTACTCCCATCTGCCTCAGAAGTAAATTATAACTTTTAGGTTTGGACTGTGCTGTCAATGTCAAGTTCTGATTCTTGTGAAGTAGTAACCTGATATAGTTGTGCTCTTACATATTTCAACTTCTTTTGTATTTTACAGCTGAAACAGTTGTGTATAGAATATTTTACTATATAAATAGATCGGGAACTGGTCGGCTTACCCTCCGGGAGTTGAAGCGGGGGAACCTAATTGCTGCAATGCAGCATGTGGATGATGAAGAAGATATTAACAAGGTTTTAAGGTAATCAGTCAGCTGAAAGCATGCAATTTTTATGAAGTTTTTTATGATATTAATATGGGTTCTGAGAACCTTTGTTTCACATTCATCATTTAGTTTTTTGTTCTCTATAACTTGATAAATTAGCATTTTACGCTAATTCTTTTCTTACTGCAGGTACTTCTCTTATGAACACTTTTATGTAATATACTGCAAGTTTTGGGAGCTTGACACCGACCATGATTTTTTGATCGATAAAGAAAACCTTATCAGATATGGTAACCATGCTCTTACGTACCGGATTGTTGATAGAATTTTTTCTCAGGTTTGCATTTTTGTGATACTACTTTCTATATGTTACTACTATCAGTTCGGCTTTAAGTGGGAAGTTTTTCATCTATATCAAAGAACAAAGAAAGATAGTAATCTTTTTGGTCTTTCAGGTTCCAAGGAAATTTAGAAGTAAGGTTGAGGGGAAAATGGGTTATGAAGATTTTGTTTACTTTATACTGTCAGAGGAGGACAAATCTTCAGAACCTGGTCTGGAATACTGGTATATTTCATCTCCTTTTCTTTAGTTGAAGCACATGAAAAACTTTCTTTGCTGATGATCCCTTACCGGTTTTAAATGTTAATGCAACGATGAAAAACTTGTGTTGTCAATCTCTGTTGTTATTTATTGGCAATTCTTTGTATTGTTGTTCTTCATAGTTCTATAGCAGTGTTAATCTCCTTAAAATGTTGCAACCTCTTCGATTATGAGCATGAGGTTGTTCGATAAAATTTTGCCGCATTTTTTAACTAGCCTCATTTTATGTATTATCAATAAAGACAATGTTACCTGACTAGAGAGATTGTTTGTTTCAGGTTTAAATGCATTGATTTGGATGGAAATGGGGTGCTCACGCCAACTGAAATGCAATTTTTTTATGAGGAGCAGTTACTACGGATGGAGTGCATGGCCCAAGAACCTGTGCTCTTTGAGGATATATTATGCCAAATTGTTGACATGATTGGACCAGAGGTCATTCCTGGATCCTCTACTGATGACTCATCTTTGTCCTTTTGATTGCATGTTGACATACATATTTCTGCATGACTAGTGCTGATACATGATTGGTTGATTACAGAATGAGGGCTACATCGCTCTACGTGACTTGAAAGGCTGCAAACTTTCTGGAAATGTTTTCAACATTCTTTTCAATCTCAATAAATTTATTGCTTTTGAAAGTCGTGATCCTTTTCTTATTCGTCAGGTAAATCCATGTGTTAACTTTGAATATTGACATCATTATGAGTAACTTTTTCTTCATGAGGTGCTGATTACAAGATATATTTGTCTTAGGAGCGTGAAAATCCAACACTGACAGAGTGGGATCGCTTTGCACATAGAGAATATATCAGGCTTTCCATGGAAGAAGATGTTGAGGATGCTTCAAATGGAAGTGGAGATATCTGGGATGAATCATTTGAGGCTCCCTTTTGAAACTAGTTAGGTATGTTCTGGAGAGGTGCTGTTGTTGTAAATACATACAATTGAGGTTGTTTTCTTTCACAGTCCTTTATTTTTTTTTTTGAACTTTTTATTTTGTGAAAAAGGATGCAGAATGATGCATTACAAATTGCAGATCTAGATGATTCATACTGGGGGGTCTTTGTTACTAAAATAATCTTTATGAATGAGTATATTTTTAAAGAAACAGATCATTTCTAGATGCTTGAAGATGTACCTATGAGTCTATTACTACTATCTCTTTAGCATAATCTGTTCGAGGAAATCACTTCTGGTTCTTCTTTTGCTTTTTCAGAGGTCTACAAGAGAAGGCGGCGGTGCTTCCTTGGTCCTGTGTATTAATCAATGGTTTTAGCTCAAACTAGTGTTATTTGTGGCACAATTGTATGCATATACTCCTGCAGGCCATATTCAGACAGAAGTTTTTAGTTACAGGGATTCTGGATGGGAATGTCGAGAGCTTTCTACGTGGAGCTTCTAGCTTAGAATACCAGGGGCCTTAATTGTGTAGGGCCAGTTGCAGAATAGGGAAATTTTTATTGTCCATATGATGATAGTTCAGAATAAAATGAAATCAAAATTTTGTTTGTAAAAAGTCAAGTCTTAGTTCTATTGTTGGTAAATCTATGTGGTTTATATGTGTAACCCTCTCTTTCTTTTATTGGTTGTGTTGATACCGATATGTTCTCCGTTAATTCAATTTATGATGAAAAGAAACTGTTTTATTTGTAATTTGTTACTGAGATCCCTGCCTCCTAACTCCTGTTCTCTCCTCTCCAATCGGCCCACCACCCCTTTTCCTGGCATCCTTTGAAGCATTCTCCCACTTCTATTTAAGAGGTTATCCGTAAAATGTGTGGATTAGATCCTGGTTTGGTGGTTTCTGACCAAAGAAAGAGAAGGGTTTCAGCCTGGTGTAGTGATCATTTGGGTTGGATTTGACACCAACTATGTTATGTTACGATATGCTTGACCACATCATGTGTCTGCTGACGGTGATCCTTGGTTAAAACATTGCTTTGATGTTGAGTGTAATTCCCATTCCCCAGGGGTAATGGTGTCATGGTCCATCTTGCTACATGCAGCGTGTACAGATAGAATCTCAAAAAACCCCTCAGAACGGCATTACGGAATTCCATGTTACAAAGTGGCATGTGTTGCTTGGCGGGGATTGGGAAAGGAGCAACTTGGATCTTGGTTAACGGTAACACGATCTTTCTCAAGGCATATAACTGACAGCCAAATTCGCTGTTGGTGACATTAACAACGGGAGTAACAGGAAATAACATGGACAAGGTAGGTGACTGTCGTCTTGGCTTAAGACCTAGTTCCTAAACCCTATCGGTTAGACAACGCCAGAGAGAGATTTAGCCAGCTTCCAGTGAACTGCAAAAGATACACCTCCGAGATCAAGTTAAATAATTACATGGAAAGACAACAATGGGGTCGTTGTACAGGAACTTCTCTCGGCTTGACATAAAATGTGGGGGAAAAATACACAAAACAAATATGAAAGAATATTTACTTTCAGATATTATTTTACAAAAGAAACAATCTCCTAGCTGACTCTAGAGCCAATCTGATATCTCAAACCACTTGTTTTGGGGCTTTGCCCCTAAAACTCACTGAAAATCTGAAAATGTAAGATGCGGCAAAGCAAATTCACCAGAGAACAGTAAGCTCTTTTAGCTTTGGATATCTGAGCCCATGGCATATCATGAGGTCACTTTCTGGAATGATTTTCCGGGGCTTCTATTTGCGGAGGCAAGAGGTTTAAGAAGCTCCCTTGAACAGGTTGACTGGCAGCTGCAGCTGACTCATCCTCTGCAAAATATACACCACGATTAACAAGAGTGAACAACCATGCTACAAACTGTTGTAACCCACCAAAAATTTTAATATTAGTGATAATATCTTACCAAAAAGGGATTTGATGGAGGGTCTCTTGGGTTTTGAGCTCTTCTTCTTCAATTCAGCTGCACAATGGAATTAATAAGAACTGGTCAAATCCAAAGATATTTGCCAGGTTGGAAGGAGAAGAGAGATCAGTCGAGAAAAACACGTATTAATGTTCTTCTCTATTTTATTTAAAGTACTTTGGAAAGTACCGAGACAAACTACAGACATGGAAAACAAAAGGAACATAAGGCATGAAAATATAAATAGAGGGAGGAAGCAATATACCAATCCCAGGTAATTGATTATCATTTACAATTTCAAAGTTCTTGTAAGTGTAACCCACAAAGTTTATATCCTTGGATGAAAGCATCTGTATCAAAGGGAAAAAAACCAAATTATGTTCGAAATGTGAACAATGGAAACATTATTTATCAGCAATTACCCTTAAACAAACTTCCATGTTACATAGGTAGGAACAGAGCCAGTCCTAGTGATTGGTAGTAGCACAAGTTTACAGTGTATAAAAATTTTGTAAGATACTAACTAGTTAAGTTCTTGAAGTTCAAACATATTAATTGAAATTATATGTACTTGTACTAACCTTTCTCCATGGGCCTGATTTTGCTGCACTAGGAATTTGGTTGTCAGCCTGGTGCACAAAAGAGGGAAGAAATAAGAATACTTCTAAACAGGTTGTTTCATATTTATAGACACAGTAACAATAATCTACCTCTTCAAACTTCTCAAAATTTTGCGTATCCAACTCATCATTGACTTCAGGAATAAATGCTGCTTTCATTTGATATAATTTGTCCCATTCAATACCTTTAAACCATGGGTGAGCCTGGAAACAATGGATACAGCCAGTTATTTTAGTAATTTGCATTCTCTTTTAAAAGTGAATCAAAGAATCTAGAACAGAACACACCACACAACACCTTAATTTCATCGGCGCCTTTTGTGCCAAGCCTCTGCTCAACATTACATAAAAGTTTACTGATAAGATCTTTTGCTTCTGGAGATAGTTTCGCTTCTTCTGGAAATTTTAAGTGCGTTCTCCAATTTACTATCTGGAAAATGTTGAAAAAGGGACAATACTTATCATTGCTAACAAAGAAGATGAGAAGCAAAATAAAGAGTCACAACATAGAAGCTAACCACAAACAATGTTCAGATGTAAATGCAGAAAAATAAAACAAAAATATTATCACAAATCATGACAGCATAATAATAAAATGGTAAAAACTTACCTTCCGACAAGTTGACATCGGCTCATCTGAATAAAAGGGTGGATATCCGACAAGCATTTCATACATGATAGCACCAAGAGACCACCTAGAAAAGTATCCAAAGATACCATTATAACATATCTCACAAAATATAAATTACAAATAAGAAAAACATGTTTAATATACAAACCAGTCACATTCCATCCCATATCCTTTCTTCAGCAAAACCTCTGGGGCAATATAGTCAGGTGTACCAACCGTAGAGTAAGCCTGAAATATTACAATATTTAAATGCTTAAGAAAATATTAATTTGCAAAGCAAGGAAAGCTTTCCAAAATGAGCTTAGCAGGAAAAAGATGTGAGCTTGTGGTCTTTCTAGAATATCTAAGGCAACTAACAGCTATAAGACATAAGCCTTGCAAACTTGACAAAATCAAACAAAACCTGAATTAAGTAAAATAAAGGAGAAACAAGTCAAGAACTTCTTGCTCTGTAAACTCAATAGAACCACCACTAATAACAATGAGAAATGTTGCATTACATACATGGTAGCCAAATACTTACAAGCATTCTTCTGTTCCTCTGCCAGTGTTGCAATTGCTCTTGTTGTGTTCGTCTTGGTGCTGCAGGCCGTCCATCACTTTGAAGAGCCCCACTGAGACTGCTAGCCATAGAAAAATCCTTTTCCTGGAGATTACTGCAATCTAACGGCTTACATAATCCAAAATCTGATAATTTCATATGACCATTTCTATCAAGTAGCAGGTTGTCAGGCTTGATGTCTCTGCAACATGTGACATAGAATGGGTGTACCCTTTAGTGCAAACTCAGGAAGACCATTATATAAAAGCAGATGAAGGTTTAATGTCATTTCAACTCACCTATGAATATAATTATGTTTGTGGATAGATTCAATTGCCAGGACAGTTTCTCCAACATAAAATCTGGCCTCATCTTCAGTTAATGTATCCTTCCGCATCAGTAAAGTCATCATATCTCCCCCAGGTAAATATTCCATAATGAGATACAGATACTCTTCATCCTGGAAAGAGCAATATAGTTTAACAATACAATTACTGTCA